ACCTTACATATGATGATAAAAAGCTGAAGCCAAGGCGACTTTTCAGAGGAGCCATGAGGCATAGAAATGACATTAAGATAATTACAATCAGCAAAGCTACGATATGCGTTTATGAACGAAGGCCGCGATCGACCATGAAATATTTGGCTTAGAGTACGATCATGAAAGCTTGTTTAATAGTGAAGCCTAGATAGGCTGATGCCTCGATTGGCTGAGTTCATGCATCGGAACTGAGATTAGTCGAATGCTTCGATAGCATTAATATAATAGGCTATGTTTAGCCAAGAAACAATACCAGTATTCATAAAATAGGTCCATGATTGACCTTATTTTTATTATGATAAAGGCTGAAGCCAGGAAGACTTTTCCGAGGAGCCACAATAGGCAGAGATATAACGTTAAGATGATTCAACCAGGAAAGCTACGATATGCATTTATGAACGAAGCCCGCGATCAGCCATGAAATATTTGGCTTTGTATTACGATCGTGAAAGCTCACGCAAGTTATGCCTCGATAGGCAGAATTCGTGCGTCGAGAACGAAATCAAGTCGAAAGCTTCGATAACATAATGAAATAGCCCAAGATTGGTCATAAAATGGCAGTAATCGTAGAATTTCAGAAGCTGTGATAGGCTTAAAAATATTGCAGCAATCAGAACCGAAAGTTACGATAGACATAAGCAAGCAAGGATACGAATAGCCTTGGAGCGTTGTTATTATGGTATTTTCAAAGCTATTCTTCATTAATCAATTATGGGATGAGTTGATGGTAAAGAACGAAATAAAGAAAGCCACGATTGACTGCGTGTAACTAAACAGATTAGCAGTGAAAAGCGGACGTATGATAGATGTATGGATTGTTAACCACCACCAGTAGCTAGCGAAGAAATTTACCTCGAATGTCGGTTGAGAGGGCTTGTTGAGCATTTAGTAGAACATACGTGTCGGATCTGATGTAGGTCTTGTATGCTGTGGACGACCATCTGCCAAGCATTTGGATAGGGGAGTCGGGAACGCTGCATTCGGCTACTGTTGTTGTGGCTCCGATACGAAAGGAATACCCAGTGTATATATGTGGAGAAAGACCGGAGAATTAAGGAGGAAGCTACATGAGTTCAAAACCAGTGCTTTGTCATTGGAAGACCGTTCGCTTATATGAAAAAAAGGGAGTATTGAAGTGTGGTCATGCTTTGAGATATGACCAAAGAAGTACAGGGGCAATAGGAATTATAGACTTTAGATATAACAACGCCAGAGACTCCAGAAGAATCTGTTTTCGAAAACTTAAATACATTTAAAAGGTGGGAGAAAGACGTAAATCGGAAATAGACAAGCCACGAGCCAAATTAAAATGTTTTGAAACAGATGCGAATTCCCCTGATCAAATAACCTGTAAAACACGGTTAGAAACGCTTTTTCTTGGATGCATGAGCCATGCACGCTGTTAAAACATGGCTATATGTATTATTATAATATATATTTATATATATATATATATATTTTTTTTTTACTATTAATTGCTGTTGATTTATGATCGAATAAGAGATAGTTTATTTACAGAAAACGAGCTGAGATTAAATAGTGTGCCCCCTTTTATTAGTTGAAGTCTGCAATCATCAAGGTATAAGTCGAGATCTTTCCGGCGCTCGGGAAGTGATTGAAAAAACATCTCCATAAATGCATTACCGGAACAATAACAAATTCAGAGAAGGGCGTAAAACAAGTTGAATAGCCTTAATAGGTACTGCTCCTTTAAGATGGAAAGCAATTCGTCTCGTCTCTCACAATGGTGAGTGAGCAGATGAGGAGCGCGAGCTGTAATATATGGCATATACATATGCGATTTAATAACAAAGTTACTCTTAAGCTTGATTAAATTCTATTCAGCAACCCAGTTGATAGTATTTTGCAACTGGCCGTGAGTGCGTGACGATGTAGTTAACGTTACGTGAATCTTTGCATACACTTACCATTTCAATGAGCTATTCGGCCCACTGTTTACTGTTTAAAGCGTTGCAGTATGTTGCGTTGCAGACTGCAGTATCGGCAGTTATTTTAAAGCTACCACATCACCACATTTGAACTTCACGTCTTGAAGGGAACAGAAGAGTAGCAAGTTAATATACTTACCTGAATGAAGTTTAATCGTGGTAAAAGGGGAACTTTTTGAAAAACACTGAGTGGAGATCGACTCTCATGAGATTTAAAGCTGCCACGTTTGTTTCTTACACAAGTGTGTCGCACTCGCGCATCGCGAAAGTTGCTGAGATCGAAATCAACGATGTGACTTGTGTTGTTATGTTTGGTATCGAAACGCGAGTAAGTGAACGCCAGCGCCTGTTTCTGCGAACTGAATGGAAACGTAATTGGCATCGAAAACTTTGCTACGACACCTGCGGGCAACAACATGGAACGGTAGGATCAGTCTTTTATATTCAATGTCGAGCTGTGATTGGTTGCGTGGAATTATAAATAAGTGACGTGCAATGGAGTCTTTCTGGTAGAACTTACGCTTACGCTTTCATTTAAGATATTTTTGATTAAATCTGAGAGCTGGATCACTCCTCCATACTAGTCCATAGGCTTCTTCAGGGATTGAACTTGCCGGCCTCGAAAAGTTATTAAAGACATCGTTAAAATAGTCCAAGTGACTACAGTGGCTCAATCTTAAGTTTATCAAGCGACGAGAATACTTTTTGTGCGCAAAAACAAACAAAAATAACGACTTTATTTCAACTATTCATTTCCTTCTCTTTAGGCCTCTAGTCAGTTAACGTAGTGTGATTCCGTAGAGCTACGTCACACGTAGGCTCCCTATTGGCCGACGCTGGTCATGTGCGTGATGCGTGTGACGTACAACAACAGAAGCTTACGCTATTACACTAGTGAACTGACTCGAGGCCCACAGAGAAGGAAATGAATAGTTGAAATAAAGTCGTTATTTTAGTTTTTTTTGCGCACAAAAAGTATTCTCGTCACTTGATAAACTTAAGATTGAGCCACTGTAGTCACTTGGACTATTTTAACGATGTCTTTAATAACCTTTCGAGGTCGGCAAGTTCAATCCCTGAAGAAGCCTATGGACTAGTATGGAGGAGTGATCCAGCTCTCAGATTTCATCAAAAATATCTTAATTCGTGTTCCGAAGATGAACGAAGGTCTTACGGGGTTGGAACAACATGAGGGTGAGTAAATACTGACAGAATTTTCATTTTTGGGTGAACTAACCCTTTAAGTACATCTTCATATGTTATTTCATTATTACTTATATTGTCTTTGAAATATGGTTAAAATGTAGTGCTGTATGTACTGCCAAGCATTTATGGTTACCTAAAATATACTTTAATGTAATTTCTATTGAAAATTGAATGTCATGTATTTTTTTATTTACACATTTGTTATGTTGAGGTTGCAATTATTTTATATTAACTTTAAAAGTAACGTCAAGTTATAAATCAAGTACTTTACAGATGCTTTAATATGTTATTCAACACATCAAAGTAAGATCAACACATCAAAACACTTCTAAGTCTACTTCAAATAAGTCCACTATAACACGACTTAGGCTTATTAAAACAATATTATTCAAACTTTTAGTTTGACATTATTACAAAGTGCACTTTTTACTTAAGTGCGTTAAGAAACATAGTCATGAAAGTGTAACTGTACACTTAAGTGACATTTTCTTTCATTAATATTATATTATCTGCCACTATAGTTAAAAAAAAAAGATTTGAAGTACACTACAAGTGCACATTCAATACCATTAAGTATACTTCTTTTTCACAAGAGAGAAAGATGGTTGAGCAGGGGTATGCAACTAGGTTTTTATATTTTCTGAAGAAAATATGAGTGACACTTACCTGTGCAAAAGGTTGTAGTTGGTCTGAGTGTTTTTTAACATGTTGCTATGTGGTTGCTAGGTGGGTCAGGTCCCTAGGTGGTTCATGGTCCCTATTCAGAATAAGTTATGTGCTGACGTTTAATGCTTTAAAATATGTGAGAAAGAGTGAGAGAGGATTGACTGCAGCACAAAGGCCCACTGATGTGTCTCTGTGTAATATACACAGTGTGTGGAGTCTCTGTATGTTTACTGTGGTGAGGGCTTGAACAGTGGCCTGTTTGTCTGTAGCCAACATAATAAGGATAAGACAGAGTGCAGACTTCACTTTAAACCATTATAAAACAGGTAAAGGCCTCTTTTCCTTCTCAAGTCACCAAATAGCACAGCATGATTTCACAATTTCAGCTATTCAGGATGGGAGAAATGTATTTAATTCAATATTAAATAATTATTTAGGTCCACAGTAAAGGTAGAACTTCAGTGTAGGGGCACATGTGCTGATGTTTGTGTGGATATTAGTCTAATGTGATGAATGGGTTCGGCTGCAGGAATAAACTCTAACATTGTTATAAAGTCACTTTAGTAAATAATTCAAAGCAATATAGAACACACTTATTCAGCTTAGACTTAGAGTGTAAATAAACCAGCAGTTTAGGAGCCCTCCACTTCGGTCATAAAATCAGCTGTTGAAAGAATGATTAAAAATCTGAAAACTGAGCCTGTTTACTATTGTGGTTTAATTAATCAAACACTGATCTCTCCTGAAAAGATTGAACTGTAGTTATAACAGGTTAGTCAGGCAGATAGTTAACTTTTCTTCAAGCCTTCATCATCTGTTTTTGCTAACTGAATTTCAAAAGTCTTTTATGTATAGATTTTATTGTTTTACCTTGGTCCCAGGTACAGACTTTCAATCTAAAACAAATAAAAATCCATCATATACCCATCAAATATTACTACAATTTAAAAATCATCACGTTGCATAGTTAAACATCAAATAATCATAAACAGTGTCAGTCTCAGTGCTTGAGATATGAGACTATGAAGACAGAAAAATTTCCAATCAAGCTGTTATTTTTTTAATTATGAAAAATGTGAAAAATCATTTAATTGTGTTTATTGATGATACATGTGTATGTTTTCTTTGATTTTGTAGTGCTGGCTCGGCTGGTTTCGGACCTGCAGGCGTTCTTGCTGGTTCTGGACAGTGAGAATCTCAGTTATATTGCTCAGGCCCAGAAAAAATCCATCTCAGAGCTGCTATATAAACTACAGGACCACAAGGACACACCAGGTAAATACTTGGTTGGTTATATGAAGTAAATGTGTGACTGTATATGTAAGTATACACTGCCGTTCCATTGTTTGAAGTAGGAAAGATTTTTTCATGTTTTTGCAAGAAGACTCTAAAGGCCCTTTTTTGGGTTCCATTTTCTGCGTTTTTCGCATCTGTAGCAAGCAGTTTGAATGGTGTTTGAGTGGTGTTTTGACAATTCAGAGCCACCGAATCACGAATACGAAAAAACACATATGAAAATTTCGGACTCAGTATGCAAGGGCCTTAATTGTGATTGACATAACGTGAGGTCGTATTTATTTTTTAACGTGCGAAAAAACGCACACGAAAATTTCGGACTCAGTGTGCAAGGGCCTTAATTGTGATTGACATAACGTGAGGTCGTATTTATTTTTTAACGTGCAAAAAAACGCATACGAAAATTTCGGACTCAGTGTGCAAGGGCCTTAATTGTGATTGACATAACGTGAGGTCGTATTTATTTTTTAACGTGCGAAAATTTCAGACGCGAATTTTGGACTCAGTGTGCAAGGGCCGTTAATCGCGTTTACACACTTCCTCAGAAACTTTAGTTCGTCATAAAAAAATTCGGATTGGGTTTGATTTTCTGCGTTTTTCACATCCGTAGCAAGCATTTTGAGAGGTGTTCTGACAATTCAGGGCCACCGAATGACGAATACGAAAAAACGCACACGAAAATTTCTGACTCAGTGTGCAAGGACCTTTACGCTCACCAAGGCTGTATTAATTTGATCAAAATTACAGTAAAACCAGTAATGTCGCAGAATAAGTCTAGACAGGAGATGAACTCAAATGCTGGGTTTATTTACAAAATAAAAACTCATCTATAAACTAAACCAAAAGAAACAAAGAAACAAAAGAATCCAGGAAGCAATAAGGTCTGTAGTCCATGTAGCAAAACATTGACAGTTGCAGACTGATTAAATTCCACCGTACAGAGTGCTTTTTTGTTAAAGTCCCCCTGTAGTCAATAATTTTATCCCTTAAAGGGTCATGAAACCCCCCTCTATCAGCTCAAGTCTAGCTCATAATCTTTTTGAAAAATGCAACTTAAATGGGCGTGGATGGCTGTGAGAAGAAGGGAGGGAGTGGGTGTGGCACGGCAGGGGAGAGGGGGAACTGTCATCAGCCAGCAGTGTTGCCAGATGTACGATAATTATCGTATTTGTACAATAATTTTGACCTCTGTACAATGTACGATCAATAATGAACAATAATCTCAGAGTTTTCAGTTGTTCGTCCAAACACACATCCTACCGCTTCTCTCTCTGACCCCGAATCATTTCGCAGGCTCGCCTGCCTGCACGTACACACACACACACACACACAACACGGTGTCGCCCAGCCCGCACGTCAACACTACACATTCACAAGTCTCCCGCATTAAGCATACAATTGATATATTATCGAAATATCTAAAATGTTCATAACGACCGCTTATTTAACAAAAGGCAAGTAAAATGACCAGGGTTACATTTTAGACACACACTCTGAAGGGATAGAAAAGTCCTCAGGACTTGGTACCGCATTACTCGCAAGACGTAACTTGCATTGGTCATCGACAAGGCCGAAGTCCACCATTCTCCAATTCTCGAAGCTCTCTCGGGTAAAATGTTTGCGGCACTTGCGTCCCATGATGGTCTCTCTCCTTTACTAACGTTACGCGATATCACAGTTTGACATGTCTGTGGAAAGATCCACGTGGTGTCATGAATAATTAAGAGACCGTGTCTTCTCATAGGATATAAAAATTCAGTCTCATTAATAATTATGAGAGACCGATGAGTCATCAACGCACTACACTGTGCACTGCCACGTCACAGCCTGCGATGAAGATTTTAAACCCGGAAGACGAAAATAGCTGGAAAAAACTAAAATTTAACCATTTTCGCCCTACTATGAAATCTAACAGATGCTAACATTGTCTTCAATGTTGTTCAACACACATACCTCTGTTAAAATCTCAGAAAATGTGGTTTAGGGTTTCATGACCCTTTAAAACTCATCTTTGATCACCAAAATGACATATTTAAACTTTTTTTCATGTGAAAAAATGTATTCATGCCTTAAAATAGCTTGAATGTAACTCTACACCCTTGCTTAATTTAGTATATGCAGACCCATAAATATGGAAATACTGGTTCAATTCAGCCATATATGTTTGAACCAGAAACTGATTCAGAAGAAGTGGTGAAAGAGTGAATTAAACAGGCTCGTCTACAAGTTGATGTATCAGAATGGTAATGTGTTTTATATATCGCTCTCTACAATGTCAGACACATAACTGTAATTAATATGATCAGCCTTTTGCTGCTTGACTATGTTATCAAACAGCTTATAATGTGTTGCTAATGTTAAACAAACCATGTTACCGTTCGCCATCTCAGAGTCAGACAGCTGCCTTCTAAAAATCAGCATCCTTAGAAACGTACTCGGTTACTAACGTAACCTCAGTTCTCTCTAGAAGAGGGAACGAGTACTGCGTAATATCTTACGCTAGGGGAAAACCTCTTTTCCTCGAGATATTGAAGCCAAAAAATTATCCTTAATTTTGAATTATTGCAAAACGCGTTGCAGCAGCATACAGACAAAGGCAGGCGGCTCAGCGTGCCTATTGGCTGTCCTGTGGCAACTGCAGCAGCCTATCGAGAGCGGCCCTTTGGTGACGGTCCAATGGGGGCGCTTCGCACCCATCGTGTCACGCTCGCGCCCAAAGGGGCGTGGTCTAGCCCTATAAAGATAGCTCGATGGGCTGATCTCACTGGTTTTTCATCACCGAAGCGAACCAGCTCGTAGCAGGCACGGCAAGATACGCAGTACTCGTTCCCTCTTCTAGAGAGAACTCAGGTTACGTTAGTAACCGAGTACGTTCTCTTACGAGAGGTTCTCTCGTACTGCGTAATATCTTACGCTAGGGGAACACTATGCAAAACGCTGTGCATGTAGGGATCCAACACCAAAGTCCCAAGGGGCAAGTGCCCGGGGCGCATATAGTGCATAATCACCATGAACTCACAGAGAGTCCGAGAAGAGAGGCTAGCAGCATCATTCTCAAATAATTTAGCCACAAGAAAGGCTATTCATTATAATAGTGTCACACACAGTCAGGGTGAAGAGAAAAACTTCGGCCTGTACTGAGTGATAGTACGGGCATTATTTTCCCTTGGGAAAAAACTCACTGCCCGTTGAGCGGTGCTCAAGCGAGTGCAGTACTCTGCGCCGAAACGACGGGGCAGGTGGTACTTGACTTTTAAACCGACAGCAATTTGGCTTGTAAGGCGGGAACTTCTAGGTTATAAAACCTTAAAAATGTAGACGGGGAGGCCCAGCCTGCCGCCATACAGATATCTTGTAAAGAGATCCCACTAGACCACGCCCACGATGAGGCCATGCCTCTGGTGGAGTGTGCTCTAACACCTAAAGGGCACTCAAGTCCCTTTGTAGTGTATGCCATTGCTATGGTATCAACTGTCCATCTGGATAGGGTCTGTTTCGAAGCGGCTAGGCCCTTAGCGCGACCGCTAAATGAAACGAAAAGCTGCTCAGACTGTCTGAAAACAGACGAGCGAGATACGTAGGCCTTTAATGCCCTTACTGGGCAAAGGAGGCCTGTGCTTTCCTCCTCATTATGAACCGGTAGGGCAGACAGGGAGATAACCTGGGCCCTAAAGGGTATCCCTGGGTGTTGAGGGATTTAGGCACGTATCCGTGTCTTGGTTTGAGTATGACTTTTGAGTCGTTAGGCCCAAATTCCAGACACGTTGCGCTTATTGAGAGCGCTTGCAGATCCCCTATGCATTTTACTGACGCAAGAGCCATGAGAAACACTGTTTTGAAAGACAAGTGTTTCATATCCGATGTCTGGATTGGCTCGAATGGGGATCCTTTCAGGGCTTCTAGCACCATGGAAAGGTCCCACATGGGGATAGATGGGGGTCTGGGAGGATTCATCCTCTTAGCTCCTTTTAGGAAACGAATGACCAGATAATTTTTCCACAGTGACGGGCCAGACGCAGGTTTTGTAAACGCTGCTATGGCCGCCACATAGACTTTGAGCGTGGATGGGGACCTGCCCTTATCCAGTAGCTCTTGAAGGAAGGAAAGTACCTCCGTTACCCCGCTGCTTGTGGGTGGAAAACCTCGGGTTTTGCACCAGTTAACAAACACTGACCACTTAGAGGCATAGAGACGTCTGGTAGACGGTGCTCTGGCCTGCGTGATGGTGTTTAGCACTCCCTCGGGGAGGTTTGCAGGTACCGGTTGATGGCCCATGCGTGCAGGGCCCACCTTTCCGGGTGAGGATGCCAAATTGAGCCCATGGCCTGAGAGAGGAGGTCTTTCCTCGTCGGACTCGGCCATGGGGCAGTGCTCGTCAGCTGCATTAGGACTGGGAACCATTCCTGGTTCGTCCAGAGCGGAGCCACAAGGAGCACAGAGCATCTGGTTTCCCTGATTCGTTCCAACACTTGAGGCAGGAGCGAAACTGGGGGAAAAGCCTAGAGCGGGCAGCTGGGCCGGACGAGGGCCAGTGCATCCTTGCTCTTTGAGAAGAATTTTGGGCAGTGAGCGTTCTCCTGGGACGCGAATAGGTCTACCTGTGCTCTGCCGAACTTCTCCCACAGCAGGAGGATTATCTGCGGGTGCAGAGACCATTCCCCAGCTGGTATATTGTTTCTGGACAGTCTGTCTGGCCCCAAATTCAGGAGGCCAGGCACGTGTGCTGCTCTCAGTGAGCGCAGATTGTGCTGAGCCCAGACCAGAATGCGCTCTGTCAGTCTGAAAATGCGATTTATGTAGGATACCACCGACATGTTGTCCGAGCGGACTAAGACGTGGTAGCCCTTTATTCGGGGACAGAAGCGCCTCAGCGCGTTGTCGACTGCCAACATTTCCAGACAGTTTATGTGAAGGAGCTTTTCTCGTTCTGACCATAGGCCGAAGAACGGTCTGCCCTCGTGCAGCGCTCCCCATCCCGAGGTGGAGGCGTCCGTGGACACCACCTGTACACTCGAGGAAGTCCCCAGGTTTACACCAGACTGGTACCAGTCGGTCGCTCTCCAAGGTTTCAGGGCTGTGACACATTCCTGATTGACCCGAAGCAGATCGGAAGCCCAAGCTCGAGGTGGTACTCGTGCTTTGAGCCAAAACTGCAGCTGGCGCATGTGAAGCAGGCCCAGCTGAAGTACTGAAGATGCTGAGGCCATCAAGCCCAGCATTCTCTGAAACCTCCTGAGCGGGACTAAAGCGCTGCAGCGGAAGGATTTCGTGGAGCGCTGAATGTCTATTCTGCGCTCTGGAGTTCGGCTCTGTGCCCAGGAAAATTATTTTCTGACTGGGGACCAGCGAGCTTTTCGCCCAATTGACTGTGAGACCCAGTTTCTCGAGGTGTTCGAGTAACACGGTCCTGTGTTCTATGAGCTCTGACTGAGATCGAGCTAGAATCAGCCAATCGTCCAAGTAGTTCAAAACTCGCATGCCCTGAAGTTTCAGGGGTGCGAGCGCCGCGTTCATGCACATCGTGAATGTACGGGGTGCAAGAGACAGGTCGAACGGTAGGACTGTGTATTGATATGCCTGGCCCTTGAAGGCGAATCTCAAAAATCGCCTGTGACGTGACGCTATTTGTATCTGGAAATAAGCATCCTTCAGATCGATCGACATAAACCAGTCCCCTTGGCAAATCTGCGCGAGGATTTTCTTGGTTGTAAGCATTCTGAACTGGCGTTACATAAGCGCTTTGTTCAGTTTCTTAGATCTAGAATGGGTCTGAGACCCCCGTCTTTTTTCGGTACCAGAAAATATCTGCTGTACAGGCCCCCTTCGCTCTGAGCTTGAGATAAAGGCTCTATTGCCCCTTTGCTCAATAAGGTCGCTATTTCGGCTCGAAGTAGGTGTGCTACTTCTGTTTTCACCGTAGATTCGACGCGCGCCGTGCTGCGGCGAGGGCGTCGAGCGAACTGCATATAGCCTCTTTTTATAATGTTCAGCACCCAATTCGAAACCCCGGGAGCTGTCCCCACGCGTTTGCGTGAATGGCTAGGGGTAGAATGGGTTTTGGGCTCTGATCGTAACATAGTGACGACACGGGAGCTTTCGTGCGCTGTAACATGGGCACTGTGTTTACAGTGAGTGAGGCGGGGGGCGCGCCTGAAATGGCGTGCAGCCTGGCCGTGCTCGCTTTCATTATAGCAGTTTGCTGTGAGAGAGCTAGCGGGGCGAGCCCCGTGGGGCTTAACATGTCTGTGGGTGAATGTGGGCGCGGAGTAGCGTGCACATTCACTGCACTGGAAAACACCGTCGGCCTGAGCTGACTGTATGTGTGTTGGTTTCATTTTTCAGAAACCATGGTACATGTAGTGTGTAGTGTTTGTGGGCACTGGGTCGTGGGCACATTCACTACATTCAATGCACAATTGACATGCGTCGATTTCATTTGTGCGAGACCTGTACCGTGACGGGCTGTGTTTGTGTGCAGAAATGAACACTGGGCTGTGGGCATTGTATTACACTCATAACACTATCGGCTGTGGCCGGAATACCAGAAAATACACTGCTTATGATTTTTCTGGGTCGCCATGGAAACGGCATTTGCGTGCAGGCAAGCGGGCCGTGGTACCGGCTTGTTTACTGCAAATTACACTGGAACAGTCGCATTTTCTTGGAACTGAACAAGCGAAAAGGAAGTCTGGCCGTGGCGAGACTAAATTTCTTAACTGCTGCGAGAGCCAGGATCGAACACGGGTCTCCCTCGCGAACAGCTTTGTGTTTCGCCACAGGGGGGAAACAACGTAAGCTTAAATTAGCTCGAGCAGATAAGGGAGCGTCACAGTTTAGGGTGTCGGCATATGTTGCAGGTGTGCGTGTTATACAACAGGCTCATTGCTGCAATATTGACATTTTCAGCCGCTCAACTAAGAGGAGCTGGGAAATGTTTGAGAAATGGAGATTGTCCGGCCTCGGCGGGACTAAAACACACTCTTTCCCTATTTCGCCGGTGACGCATACCCACGGGGGGTGGGGGCGGGGTAGCTTTCTTATAAAGTAAAGAAAGCTAGCGGCTCAGCTGGCCTTCTCAACAGATGCAGCTATCTCTTCGTCACAAATGGCGAAAACGGCGGCGCGCGGCGGCCGTTGTCCGTCAGTGAGCGACTCGAGTGAAGCTGGTGAAAACTCGCGGGCGAACCGGCGAGCTTTCACGGGCTGGAGAAGGCTCGGGGACCCGCTGAGTACGCCGCTTTACGGCGCAGCACTACAGCGGGCGGGAGTGCAGACTCGGAGAAATATGCCAGGCGAGTCCTCAGAGTCACCATAGGCAATAGCTCGGAGTGAGGTCAGCCGCCCTCAGCGAGCGCGAGTGCTACATGCTCCTCTCTCAGGCAGGAAACGCAGATGAGGCGGTCCCCGTCGCTGAGTGCGGCTCGGCATCTTTAAAAAGACGCAGCTCTTTTAGTAAGTGAGTCGCGGGGGCGAACACACAGTGAGCAGAGTGTAAAAGGATATATAGACGCCGGATAGCGTAGCAGGAAGCGGCGACTGAAGGCGGCGAGATGAGGCCAGCGGCTTCAGAAGATGGCTCGTCCTGCAGAAGGCTTTTTCAACGGCGCGGCTTCTTCACTCAGGATCCAGCGATGCAGAGCTTCGCTGAAGAGATGAAAAATCAGTGAGATCAGCCCATCAAGCTATCTTTATAGGGCTAGACCACGCCCCTTTGGGCGCGAGCGTGACACGATGGGCACGAAGCGCCCCCATTGGACCGTCACCAAAGGGCCGCTCTCGATAGGCTGCTGCAGTTGCCGCAGGACAGCCAATAGGCACGCTGAGCCGCCTGCCTATGTCTGTATGCTGCTGCAACGCGTTTTACAATAATTCAAAATTAAGGATAATTTTTTGGCTTCAATATCTCGAGGAAAAGAGGTTTTCCCCTAGCGTAAGATATTACACAGTACGAGAGAACCTCGTAAGAGAACATCATAGAAAGTCAGTGGAGAAAGGCATATCGTTCATCATAACATCGTACTATACATCATATACATAATTCACCCGTTATATAGCTAAATGTACACGATTTTTCTTATCAACAGAAAAATAAACCGGAATAATCTGGCTTCTCTTGAGACTCCCTGCTTTGTAGCATATTTAATGCACGTTGACGTGATTGGTTACAATTTGCAGTTTGTGACATAAGGAACATTGGCGATTTCAAACCACGTTTTTGAGACAATGGTGTTGACTTGTGACTTTGCTCATGGTTTGTCTTAAAGCATATTAAAAACACCACATAAACATACACTCACCTAAAGGATTATTAGGAACACCTGTTCAATTTCTCATTAATGCAATTATCTAATCAACCAATCACATGGCAGTTGCTTCAATGCATTTAGGGAGTATTTCACAATCTGCTCAGTTACTGGGATTTTCACGCACAACCATTTCTAGGGTTTACAAAGAATGGTGTGAAAAGGGAAAAACATCCAGTATGCGGCAGTCCTGTGGGCGAAAATGCCTTGTTGATGCTAGAGGTCAGAGGAGAATGGGCCGACTGATTCAAGCTGATAGAAGAGCAACTTTGACTGAAATAACCACTCGTTACAACCGAGGTATGCAGCAAAGCATTTGTGAAGCCACAACACGCACAACCTTGAGGCGGATGGACTACAACAGCAGAAGACCCCACCGGGTACCACTCATCTCCACTACAAATAGGAAAAAGAGGCTACAATTTGCAAGAGCTCACCAAAATTGGACAGTTGAAGACTGGAAAAATGTTGCCTAGTCTGATGAGTCTCGATTTCTGTTGAGACATTCAGATTGTAGAGTCAGAATTTGGCGTAAACAGAATGAGAACATGGATCCATCATGCCTTGTTACCACTGTGCAGGCTGGTGGTGGTGGTGGTGTAATGGTGTGGGGGATGTTTTCTTGGCACACTTTAGGCCCCTTAGTGCCAATTGGGCATCGTTTAAATGCCACGGCCTACCTGAGCATAGTTTCTGACCATGTCCATCCCTTTATGGCCACCATGTACCCATCCTCTGATGGCTACTTCCAGCAGGATAATGCACTGTGTCACAAAGCTTGAATCATTTCAAATTGGTTTCTTGAACATGAAAATGAGTTCACTGTACTAAAATGGCCCCCACAGTCACCAGATCTCAACCCAATAGAGCATCTTTGGGATGTGGTGGAACGGGAGCTTTGTGCATCCCACAAATCTCCATCAACTGCAAGATGCTATCCTATCAATATGGGCCAACATTTCTAAAGAATGCTTTCAGCACCTTGTTGAATCAATGCCACGTAGAATTAAGGCAGTTCTGAAGGCGAAAGAGGGTCAAACACAGTATTAGTATGGTGTTCCTAATAATCCTTTAGGTGAGTGTATAAACAATATTAAAAGCTTGATTTTCACCACAGGGGGACTTTAAACGTCCCATATGTGCGCTATCACTGCAGCACAGCTCCAACAAAGCTGTCATGTTTTATACAGTTTTTTTCCATATCTGTCTGGAAACACTGCAGATCCACCTACAGCTGTTGTGATTGGCTGAACTTTACCTTTACTGAGAGTCAGTGGAAGGTCATGGTAAGATTGGGAGGACAGATGTTAAATTCGAAGACCGCTACTCTCATATAACCTATATAAAAAGGTCATCTTTACCACCATATCTTAAGACTTTTATATGTAAATGACTTCTGTTGTGGATGTCTAACCTCTTCATACTTCAGTTTATAGCTCCACTTTGGGTTTTGGGTTCTTACAATTTTATGAATGTTTATAATATATTAAAATTGTATGTGTTTATATGTTCAGCAGAGGATGCAGAGTACATGATTATGAACTGTCCCTCTGGAGGCCCCAGTGATCTCAGGGAAAGCACCACCGCTGAGGCTCATTTGACAGAGGAACCCATTTCAGTCACCTCTACTGAACGACTGCAGCAAGGAGTGAGTCCAGCCCTTATGACTCCATGATTTGATATAACACTCTGAAAGATTTATTGACATGGTATGAGCTCTAAATAGCATGTTACAGCTTTAAGTACTTGCTCATCAAAGAAAGATTTTTGTTTTGTTTGAAAGCCAATATTACATACAAGCAAATATTATTTGAGTTGGTATGGACCCTGTTTACTTACTCTTTCCTCAGAGTCTTATTGTGCACCATTTATCTGTTCATAGTCAGTTTTCCAAAAAAATGTCTTATTAACCTTTCATCACAATGTAATAACTGCTACAGTCACGTCACTAGCCTTACTTTATTTTTCAGCCAGCTCCTCCTACTCAACCACCACTAGCCCTACATTCAAATTTTTGTTTGAGTTTTCTATTTAGCTTTCTTTTTTTTATTTCAGTTGTAGTACTTTAACTTATTTTATTTCTTTTAAGTTTAAGCGTTTTATTTAATTATTTACATTTAATTTTTTTCAGCTTTATTTCAATTAATGAAAACTTTTTTTTTTTTAAACAGTTACTACTTAAGGACAATTTGTTATTTATGAAAGCATCATTTTATTCAACAGTTTAGTTATTCTCTATGGTGGCTTCTCAATCAGAAGGCTGTGTCCTAGACAGGGTGCATATCAAGGCTGCCAAGTCATCAAGTGACGTCAAAGCACATCTCAATTTGAAGTATCCTTGGAAGGCAGCCTTCGTTTCGCGTCCTTCATTTGGCTTATTTTGAAGAATGCATCACATATCCTATGCGCCCTCTAGTCACCCACAACCCTTTGAGCACATTCAAATTCACACACAAAAAATGTTGCAGAAAATGAATCTGTTCTGAACTTGTCCAATTTCATTATTTAATAATAATTATTTTAAAAATCAGAGATGAAAGCATTGTGTCATGGAACAGAAGAATGCAGACAATGGTAAAATCCAATGGTTTTTGAGATACACACCTCACTGTAAGGTAACTGGAAGGCTGGGTGGATTGAAGACGAGATGACCAGTGAAGACTGAGGAGAACAGAAGACTGGACAGTTCTAGATGGAATTACACAGGTTGGTAGTCGGGTTCGTGTTTAGGGTAGAGTGATGAGATCAGATGCTGATGAGTGTGTGAAGCAGGCTTAAATGGAGTGGAGCTGATGAAGGTGATTGATGGTAGGTGTGGATGATTGAAGAGAGTGTGCAGGTAGGAGCCAGGAAGGATCATGGGAAATGTAGTGCAGAAGTGAGTTGTCTGGTTACTGAGGATTGTGACAGTACTCCCCCCTTCCCAGAAGGCGTGACCTCACAGCTTGATGAGGTAAAGCTGGAGGCTTAGGAGGAGGCCGTGGAGATGGTGCAGGAATGCTAAGAGGAGTAGGCGAAGGGATGCTGATAGCAGGTGTCGGAGTAATGGTGACAGCCTGACGACGAGACCCTGGCAGCGATGATGATGAGGTTGCCTGAAGGCACAGACCCAGAGTCGAAGGCACGGATCCCAGGGCGCAGACAGAGAAGAGCGACATTGCTGGCACAGGAGGCCGAGGCGACAATGATCTGAGGAGCCAGACTGCCCGAGGACTGAGGCGATGCCAGTGTGAGGACCGAGGCGTACCCGAGGGGAAGGAGGAGCCTGCTGCAGCCATAGGGGTGGAGTAATGGAGCGTAGCAGAAGATCCGCAAGTCTGTGGCAGAGGTGAACCTGGGGGAGTCAAAAGGCCTAGGGTGTCTGGTAGAGACGAAGGTGAGAGGACCCAAAGTGGAACCGACAGGGCGAGACGATCTGAGGCCAGAGGCGGAGCCAGTGGATCTATCAGCTCAGGCGCTGATGGTGGTTGCAGGACCTGAAGCTCGACCTGAGTGCTTGGCAATGCAGGAGATGGCGAAGGGCTGACAACCTCCAGCAGAGGCGGGGCTGGAGGACTGGCTGAGCAGGAGACAGATGAAGGCTAGACAGGGTTGAAGATAACAATACATTGTCCATGCAGGTGTCTGTGCTGTCTAGAAACAGCGATGAAAATTTCAAAATGGGGTGGGATAGAGTGGGGGAGAATACCTCCTCACTGAAGTCAATCAGCCAGTCCTCAGTCTCAAAATCCACCAAAATACCATCAGCCAATCATGTCATGGGCTCACACCCCTGGTCAGACTCACCAGGGGGCTCCTCTTCCGGGGCGAGGGTCCATGCTGACCTCTTATCTTCGGGCACTGGCTGACGCGTCGCGTGGTAGATCTCTGTCTGAGGGGGGCTCACACGTTTCCTCCGTAGTCGATGGTGGTGGAATGGGCTCTGTGTCCAGCTGTGTTCTGGATCGGAGGTAGACACTCTCCAGACAGTGGATAATAGCATCCCTCCGGTTCAGCCCAGAGGTGGTCTACAGGGTGATGGTAATTCACCCCGATCCAGAACAGTGATTTCAGGTTCTCATCGTCAAAGGGGCTGATGACTAGCCTGGCTCCACCCTCCTACGTACTTCCGCTCAATTTTCATTTTCCTTTAGTACTACGTCTGGGATTGTGGTGTTTTCTTTGGTTTTCTCCGGTCAATTTTTTTACCGGTCCAATGAGCAAACAGAGGGAGTGGCTGAGAACGATGACGTTGATGTTGTACGCTAGTTTGAGTGGTTTGAGTCGTCATACATCACGACCAAATGTCAGAGATTGGTAATGGCAGATCCAGAGTGGCTCTGGGCAGATCCAATAATTCAACAGAGTACCCGCCTTCAAGGAAGTTAACGCTTTTCAATGGAGCAAGGACAGACTCTCTGTACAAATGAAATTTACGAGAGTGGTGGGACCAGGCTAGCTGGTGACGGCAAGAAAAAAATTTTCTCAGTAAAAATAACAAAGTCCAGGCTTTCACGAGCCACAACTGTAAATCGAGCAGCATAATCCATTTTAGGTCTGGTCTTCTGTCATAGAACAGAAGAATGCAGACAAAGGTAAAAATCCAAACAGAGTTTGAGAAACACAGGTGAGTAACTGGAAAGTAGATAGTTGAGAAGATACTGCCAGGCTAATGTTTGTTTGCAGGCAGAGATGACAGGTGACTGGAAGGCTGGCTGGATTGAAGATGAGATGATCACTGAAGACCGAGGAAGACTGAGGAAGACAGAAGACTGGACAGTTCGAGACAGAATCACACAGGTAAGTATACACAGGTAAGTATCCACAGGTTAGTAGTCAGGTTTGTGTTCAGGGTAGAATGATGAGACCAGATGCTGATGAGTGTGTGAAACAGGCTTAAATGGAGTGGAGCTGATGAAGGTGATTGATGGCAGGTGTGGATGATTGAGGAGAGTGTGCAGGTGGGAGCCAGGAAGGATCATGGGAAATGCAGTGCAGAAGTGACTTGTCTGGTGACTGAGGATTGTGGCATTATGTTTTGTGGTAAATCAATCATATAATGCTAATTTGTTCATAATGCAAACCACTATATTGCATTAATGGAAAAGTCAGTTAATATACAGGTCCTTCTCAAAAAATTAGCATATTGTGATAAAGTTCATTATTTTCCATAATGTAATGATAAAAATTAAACTTTCATATATTTTAGATTCATTGCACACCAACTGAAATATTTCAGGTCTTTTATTGTTTTAATACTGATGATTTTGGCATACAGCTCATGAAAACCCAAAATTCCTGTCTCAAAAAATTAGCATATTTCATCCGACCAATAAAATAAGTGTTTTTAATACAAAAAAAAAAAAGTCAACCTTCAAATAATTATGTTCAGTTATGCACTCAATAGTCAATACTTGGTCGGGAATCCTTTTGCAGAAATGACTGCTTCAATGCGGCGTGGCATGGAGGCAATCAGCCTGTGGCACTGCTGAGGTGTTATGGAGGCCCAGGATGCTTCGATAGCGGCCTTAAGCTCATCCAGAGTGTTGGGTCTTGCGTCTCTCAACTTTCTCTTCACAATATCCCACAGATTCTCTATGGGGTTCAGGTCAGGAGAGTTGGCAGGCCAATTGAGCACAGTAATACCATGGTCAGTAAACCATTTACCAGTGGTTTTGGCACTGTGAGCAGGTGCCAGGTCGTGCTGAAAAATGAAATCTTCATAAAGCTTTTCAGCAGATGGAAGCATGAAGTGCTCCAAAATCTACTGATAGCTTGCTGCATTGACCCTGCCCTTGATAAAACACAGTGCACCAACACCAGCAGCTGACATGGCACCCCAGACCATCACTGACTGTGGGTACTTGACACTGGACTTCAGGCATTTTGGCATTTCCTTCTCCCCAGTCTTCCTCCAGACTCTGGCACCTTGATTTCCGAATGACATGCAAAACTGAGCAAACAGTCCAGTGCTGCTTCTCTGTAGCCCAGGTCAGGCGCTTCTGCCGCTGTTTCTGGTTCAAAAGTGGCTTGACCTGGGGAATGCGGCACCTGTAGCCCATTTCCTGCACACGCCTGTGCACGGTGGCTCTGGATGTTTCTACTCCAGACTCAGTCCACTGCTTCCGCAGGTCCCCCAAGGTCTGGAATCGGTCCTTCTCCACAATCTTCCTCAGGGTCCGGTCACCTCTTCTCGTTGTGCAGCGTTTTTTGCCACACTTTTTCCTTCCCACAGACTTCCCACTGAGATGCCTTGATACAGCACTCTGGGAACAGCCTATTTGTTCAGAAATTTCTTTCTGTGTCTTACCCTCTTGCTTGAGGGTGTCAATGATGGCCTTCTGGACAGCAGTCAGGTCGGCAGTCTTACCCATGATTGCGGTTTTGAGTAATGAAACAGGCTGGGAGTTTTTAAAAGCCTCAGGAATCTTTTGCAGGTGTTTAGAGTTAATTAGTTGATTCAGATGATTAGGTTAATAGCTCGTTTAGAGACCCTTTTCATGATATGCTAATTTTTTGAGATAGGAATTTTGGGTTTTCATGAGCTGTATGCAGTGGTGGAATGTAACGAAGTACAAATACTTCGTTACTTTACTTAAGTACATTTTTTCACATATCTTTACTTTACTTAAGTAGAATCAATAGTGCATACTTATTACTTTTACTTCG